CAGGGCCCAACCACTCACCTTGGGGCCTGGGAAAGCCTCGTTCTGTTTCAATTTCACTGTCAGCTCCACGTACCCTGAGCAGCTGCCGATCTGCAAGGGCGGATCTGGGGATCCTTCCTGGGAGGCAAGAGGATGTAAGAGGGGAGGGGTCAAGAAGATGACATCAGAGCTGGTCAGAGGGATGGAGTGGCAGAGGGGTCAAGGGCACTGAGGGCAGGGATTAGAAGGAGACAGACTGTGGGATCAGAGTTGGCCCACCTGTCGGGGAAGCTCCTCGAAGCGCAGGCAGACCCCCGCCAGCTGCAGCAGCTTGTGCAGGAAAGCAGGAGGCTGGTGAACATCCACAGGGGGCGCCTGGCTCGGGTCTCGCACAGCCTCGTCACAGTATTCTAGTCTGGGGAGCGTAGGGTCAGCCTTTTCCCTGCCCCCTCCACCTCGTCCCCCCGGTGTGGAGCCCCTCTGCCTGCACAGCATTCTGTTCTCGGGGTCTGGGGTCATGGAGCTGCCCCACCACAGCCACACCATCCTGCACCTCCACGGCCAGTCCTTGCTCCCCAAACCTCAGCATGTAACCTGATCCCTGGCACCCCCTCACCCCTGCCACTCTGCACCTTCACCGCCTGGACTCACTCCTGCCCACCTCCCCCTTGCTGTGGCCACTGCCCAGACCCACCCATATTTTCTCTGCCACTTCCCAGGAGCCTAGGCTGGGGGTGGGGTCAGGGCCAGGGCTGTGTGATAGCCCCTCATGCTCCCTCTCCCTCATGCCAGCCCACCGGCCAGGCCTACCCCTACCTCTGCACATGGACTTCCACGGCCACACCATGCTCCCCGTCGCCCGGTGAGTGCTCCACCCTCACGACAGTGTCCAGGAAGGTCACCTTGATCCTTCGCAGCACTGAGGGGTGAGAGGGGGTCTCAGGGCAGGCAGAGCTCTCCCACGGGGCCGCGCGTCAGCTTGGCGGGGCCTGCCTACCAGTCTCGATGGTCTGGGCGAACATCTCCAGGCCCTCCAGGGGTTGTGGTGGCTCGGAGGGCTCAGGCAGCCCATCCCGCAGGCACTCCTGAGCCAGCTGCAGGCTGGTGGTCATGCATGAGGCCCAGCTCTGCGAGTCAGCAGGCCCTGGTCCTGCGAGGAGGCCCGGTCAGCCGGAGTGCCCAGGCCCACTCCCACCACTGGCTCTCCCACTCCTGCCCCAGCCTGCCCCTGCCCTCACCTGGGCCATGGCGGGGCTGCAGGGTGAGCTGGAGGCCTGACACGAGAATGGTGCAGTGGTCTGTGAGCAGCGCGGCCCAGGGCACGGCTACTTCGATGGAGCCCACAAAGCCTTCCACCAGCTCCAGCGGCGATTCCATGGACTCCAGCACCTCGTTCACAGACTGCAAAACCCCGGGGGGAGCTGGCTCAGGACAACCCACACCCGCGTCTCCTGGCCGCTGTCTCCCGTGCCTGTCTGCTCTACCTTGGAGAGCAGCCCCGCTGCTCCAGATCCCCACACGCCACCCACAAGGCCCACCTTTGCTCATGCTGATCCCTCCTCGTGGCCCAACATTTTAAGCCAGAGGAGGGGGAAGCTGAAGGATGAGGAGGAGAAAGCCAGGAGGAGGGGCTAGAAGATGGCGTGTTCCAGGCTTGGGAGCAACACATTCATAGTAAAGGCCTGGCAGGCGGTGCAGTGGCACCCCACGAACTCTGGTCAAGCAGACACAAGCATGGGCCTGACCTGAGCTGAGGGGATGCCCCCCAACTCCAAACACGTGGTGTAGCGGTACCTCTCTCTAAGGCACAGGTGAACCCCCTATTCCCACCGATGGGGGAATAGAGTCCCTGGGACCCTGGCCTTTCTCCTCATCCCATCTCAGGGTCCCCAGGCTTCTGCTGGGGTCTTCAAGGTAGGGCTGCAGGCAGAGCAGCTGGGAGGAGGGGCTGCTATTGAACAAGCACCTGCATCCCCCCCCAGGGCGAAACTAGGTAGGAACCAATTCAATCCGACAGGGCTGGGTGGGGAAGGAGTGTTTCCTGGGACTGGAAGCAGGAAGAGGCAGCTTAGCAATGGATCTGAAAAGGCTTCCTGCACTGGGACTCAGGCAAGCGGCTACTGGGAACCCCCCCCCCTCACTTACTCCACACGCGCTCAGGAAGACCTGCCTACCTCTAGAGCCCAGCTCTCCCTGCCCAGATTGCACTGTGCCCAGCCAGAAAACGGAGTAGCCCTTGCCCCCATGCCCATCCAGTGCCAGCCCTGGGCTGGTGCCTCCGATTGGTGGCTCCTCTGCAACTTTCCAGGTCAGCTGGGCTGTGAGTCACCGCCCCCAGACTCAGGTCAGACCCAGACCTTACCTCTCTCCAGCTCCCAGCATCTCCCCTGCCGGCTTCCTCTGCCTGGGGCCAGACCTCTCCCCGCTGCCCTGGGGGCTTCCCTCCAGGTGGGGAGGCTAATCTCCAATCCCCTCCCCAAACCTGACCCTCCCACTCTCCCCAAAGCAGGAAGTAGGCAGCGCGGCAGCAGTCACACGAGGTGTTGATCAACACGGGCGCTGACGCGGTTGTTGACATCCACATCCGGAGGCGAACCCAACCCACTGGGCCCAGGATTGCAGGGTCAGGAGGTCAGGGGACCTTCCCCACAGGTGTCCTCGGCGGGCTGTGCACCCCTGGCAGTCTCCTCTGTCCGGCTGCATGGCTGCAACTCTGCCCCTACCCTGGCCTGGCCCTGCCGGCACCCCTCGTCCTCCGCTCTGCTCCCACCTCACCCTCTCCTTCGTCCTCGGCACCACACTCCTCCAATCAGGCCCCAGCCTCAGTGTGCTGACTCCGGCGTCTCTCCGCCAAGTGACAACCCTCCCCCCAGCCTCAGTCTCTCCTCCTGAGAAGTGGCCGCAAGGAACCCCTGCCCGCTCTGGAGGCGACCAGCCGGGTCCTTCTGACGCCTGAAAAGGGCCGGACTTCCACGACCTCAACACGCCCGGTACCTGGTCCCTCGGCCCGACCCCTTCGCCGGGAGCCTCGCGTCGCCGCGGCCCGGGACCCCCCACCGCCCGCGCCCCCGGGCTCGGGCCTGGCTCCTCACCCAGATCTCCAGGTGGATATCCCGCAGGGCAACGCTGCCCTTGTACAAATCGAGGCTGAGCTGGTCCAGGCTGAGGTGCTCCT